ACTGGAATTATCTTGCCCACTGCAGCCTCACATTGTGGTCTCGCAGATCCTGTAATTAAATGGGATACTCAGTTATTTACAATAGATACAAAAGCTTTTCTCTCAGCGGAGTCCCTAGGTACGCTTGATTCTCTTAAATCCTGTTCTGTTCCTGTAATAGCATTTTCTAGATCATTCAGTTGTTCTGTATGATATCCTTCTCCTCTATAGGGATGATTCCTTCTAAGTTTGTATCTTCGACAAATACTAGTCTATTTTTGTGTTCTGTGTAGTGGTCATTTAATTCTTCAGTGCCTTTTCTTCCCATTCTGTTGATACCATTGGAACTCGGATTGACCCAATTTTAGAAAGAAAAATGTCTAGCCAAAAGTCTCCTACCATTCGCTGTCCTTACTGGTTGATGTTACTAGTTGGAGTGACTCCTAAAATAGCAGAGAAACTTCCTTGGAACCGGGTTTGTGCAGTTTATTGCTTCTGTTCTGTAATTACTTTGAAATAACCCATTGGCATTCTAATAATTTTCGCTGTGGTTTCCACTATGTCTCTTTGTCCTTAACAAAGCTTACTCTAAGTGCCATACTTTTCTGTAATCTTGACAATCTGTCCAGCTGTCTGTCACAAGAGGAACTGATCTTTCCTGCTTCTTCCTCTTCAATCAACAAGTGAGATATAGGATCACCAAAAAACCAAATAGGAACGTTTGGGGCAGGCTGGCATTAAGCAAGAGGTAGATGAAGTAGGTATCTAGGTCAGCAGAATTCAGAAATAACAAGGTTGCAGCAAACAGTGTTGGCTGCACACTGAAAAACCAAGCATGATTTATGTGAGTGCACACCAAGCTGGATATGTGGTTTGCCAAACTACCATACGGTAGTTTGCTTGCAACATAAGCAGTAACGGACCTATCCAGTGGATTGCATGGAGAATCATCACAGCATTTCCTGCTGCTTCACTACAGTAAAATGATCAAATAAGAGACAACAGAGAAACAGCTGCTGTTCTAGGTGTTCTGCTACCCAAGCAATGGTTGTGCTTGCAATCACACACTCAATGAGAGGTGCTCTCAAGTGACAGACAGCATGGGCAGTGATGTTTAGATGCTGTCCTGCCTGTTCATTAACGTTACCTAGTAGTGTGTCAACCCATCCAAAAGCATCCCAAGCTGAAGGAAAGCTTTATGTTTTCTATACACCCTCAAGCCTTAGCTTCTGGTCTGATTAATGCTGCCTAGATGCTTGATTAAGTGCGGTTAATTATATCTTTACTTCTCTATGATCCGGAGTCAGAAGGCTGGATTAGAAGGAAACACATAGTCAAGGATTTATCTGTTAGATCCAAGGCAAGACCTCCTGACTAAAGTCTTTCAATGATCAAGCTTTTCATGAGGGATTTTGTGTGTAAAGGTAGAATTGCCTTTCTATTTTTTTGTCTTTCTAATGCTCTCAGAAACATTTTCAATATCAAAGAAGAAGAGCGCTCTTCTTGGCACAGGGGAAGCTGACAGACCTACAAAAGAAGGTACATAATTCCAGAGAACCATAGACTCAGGGTCTATGAAACGGCCTATATTAGGCTTCTTTAAGTGCAGCTTTTGAAATAGAAAGGTGTTCCTAGCTCAGATACCATTACTTAGTGTTCTCACGATAAGAGAGTATTATACTGTAACTGGCTGAGTGGCAATGATTGAAATGCAGTTTTACCTCTTCTGCGTCCGCCCCCACACTCTAAATAAATGAAGGAGAAAGTGCCTTCTTCCATTCTTCATTAATAATAACACAGGCTGGAAAATACTATTCAGCTTCAGACACAGGAGTGTCTCTAAATATTTGGGGATAGCGAATGGTGAATGCGCCCACTCAACCTTGACAAAAGCATATTCTGGACAAAATGTTTCATACCCATAGAATCAACCTAAACTTGAAGAAAGACGACTTTTTCAAGTTTTACTTCCTTTGGAGTGGGTTGGGGCTTTTTTCCAAGTCAAAACGTAAAACGGAACAGCAATATAGCAGACCTAGAAAATCAGTTATTTTCCAGCTGGAGATAAAGTGAGCATAGCTGGAGATAAATTTCTGTGAATTGGTTCATAAATATTGTAAATTTTAATCAGTGCTTTGCTGAATAACTGTGCTTCAGCTTTCTGAGTGTTCACTGAAAGGCAGACAAAAACTCCTTCTATATCTTTTCCAAAACCTTTTCTAGCTTTCACAGGAAAAAATCATAATGTAAAAGAATTAAAAAAGTGAATCAACGCAGGGTTATTTTCCAGAATTTCTACTCAGCCTGAAATATAGTTCTGCAGGGCACAAATGGGATGTTAAATGTTGAAGTTTTAACATGACGTTTAAAATGTTACTATTGCTAATTACTTTAAGTGATCATTATTCCGGCAGAAATTTATAGCCAGTGTGCTTGCCCTGGATTCTCAAACTATGCATTTTTATGCTATCAAATATGTCTACAGCTAGCCAGATCTTCAGCTTCTCCTACCACAACTTTTTACGGCAGTTATGATGAGCAGAACAGAATCTTTCTTAGACAAAGGTAACCTTTCATGAAGGGAAATTTTACTTTTCATTAAATAGAGAAAACCGGAGAGAAAAGATGATTTTCATCTTTTTGAATAGGAAAGGTAACTTGCTTATAAATTGACTATAAAAATTGAAATTAATAAATCCCTGTTTTCATTTCTACAATAAGAGAGTACAGAAGGTCTAAAGATCTTCCTCCACCTGCACATGGGATTTTTAAAACAGCTCTACAAATGTAATCCTTTATTGTCAATCCTAATATTGTCAATATTAGAAATGATGCAACCTCCGGCTGGTATGCAGCCTTTCCTGGCAGCAGGGATGAAATGGCTGGTGGTTGCTCCAGGAGCTACCATACTTTGAGTATTTTGCCATTACAATGACAACCGCCCCCAGGGAATTTCTCTGTGGGGGTGTATCACTTAAGGCAGGGCACTACTGGTCCTTCCCAGCCGCTTCCCTCACAGTTTGCCATGTCCTGAAAGCTTTCCCTCAGCAGTGTCTCCCGACCCCAGCTCAGAATCGGCATAAATGGTCCTGGGGAGGGAGCATGGAGCCCTGCTTCCCACCACCGCTGCTCACTAACTCACCTCCTAAGGGCGAGAGGAAGTATCTGCTTCCTCCTAGTCGAGACCCCCCTCCCTCTCCTGACCCCAGGTATGGGCTAGGGCAAATCCAGCCATGTGAAGAAACAAGGGGAATGCAGTTCCCTGCTAAATACCAACAAAGAAGGCCGCGGTGGAAAGGGCACAGGACAACACCTGCTACAATCGCTACAGTGAGGCTACTGCTTCACTGTGGCGACTGCTGCTGTGAGGAAGGGCCGGGAGGCAGAGAAAGAGCTCGCAGGGGTTGTCTGTGAGGCAGAAGAAAAAGGGCTCCAGGTGACGACGGGCCATTGAAAAGGTGCTGATGGTGGTGAGCAGCTGGATAGGAGTGCGGGGGGAAGGGAACGAAGGAAGTTTGGGATTTATTTCCTTTTCATTTAAGTAGGTGTGGGCAGGGTGATTGGAGGGGTCACCCTTAGGCGGTTTAACAAGAAATGCGTTATGGCTACCTCCTAAAAATGTGTGCAATACATTGCAGTTTCAGCAGACTTCATAGGAATTACAGTATCGGCTCAAACAGGAATCAAATAACAACTGGAGCTGTGGTTATTCACTTTCACAAGAGGCAAGATATTTCCTCCTGTTGTGCTGTGAGCTGCAGTTTAAAGGCATACCTTCCCGTATGTGGCCATAGTCAGCAATGAGTGAAGCAATCTCTGCTTACACAGGTTTCTAGAACTTTGTTTACAAGGAAGAATTCCATACAGTACTTTTCAGAGATAGGACCGCCAGACTAAACACCTAAATTTCACGTTTAAAATTATTCCTTGGCTGCGGTCTCCCTCACTGTATTGCTGTATGGATAACATTTTTCATATAGTTTTGTGCTGTTTCGAAGGGTGGGGATCATGTGACCAAATGTAGCTGTCAGGTCTTCTAGCGTGATTTATCTCATCCTAAAATAGACGTCTAGTTCGGATGTGGACACCTACTTACTAGCGGTCTAAAGTTTGGTGAGGTGATCCCATCTAAAATGTTTGCACAGTGTAGCTGCCGGCTCTCTTAACTGACAGTGGCATTGCCTGAACAATACTGCTTCTCTTTGTAGCCACAGGCTTGGTTCATTAAAGTTTGTGTAATGAGCTTCCTAAAAGAACAAAAGTGAACCAAACTAATGATCTAGACATGGGCTGAGAGGCAAACTGGGGAGAAGAAAAGCAGTGGTTAGGAATACTGTGGAGAACATGCATTTAATCCCTGTTGCTAGCAACTGGAAGGAAAAGGGTCTTGTATCTGCTATCCTTCTGCCTACAGTGGTGCTGGGGGGCTTTGGAGGGAGCAAGCTCCACCCCTTGGTTGTGGTGACTGGCACAGAAGGTACAAAGCTAAATCCTTAACAAAGGGACTTGGGAATACTGCTGACACTTTACTTTTCCAGGTCCCAAGTGGAGATCCCCTATGTTAATGGATACGGGAGTTCCCTAGGTTTTCTATCCACATCCGAGAGCTGGCTCTTAGTCGATCAATTTTATTATGTAAGACAGCTTGAGCTGGGTTCCTCCAAGAAGGGACCCCGCTTCTTGCAATCCCTGGATTTTTATCTCCTTACAATCTAATCAGCCCATTCCCTTAGTCCAATCAGTGAATTAGAGTCAGGGGTCTTTCTCCTTTTCATTGGTCTGCTTCTTCTCTCCGGGTGGTGTCCAACTCTTCCTTGATTTATGACTTTTGTTTTTGTTCCTCAACTTGGAAACACTTGAAACATGTAGTAGAACATGTTCCTTCCCACGTCTCCTTTATCGGGTCATCGGGCTGATGGGTCAAACATTACTAGGGCAGTCTATCTTGTTTAATACTATTGTTATATTTAAGAATACATATTGGTTTTGGTCCAACTCTAGTTTTAACTTTTAACTCATGCACTAATATTAACTCTTAAACAGCATGTATAACTACTTCTATTACACCTACAGACCCACTCAGCTGTGGCACCACACAAAGGGTGTCTAAAGTATCTGGATGCCAAACTGCTGAAGCTCCTGAAATACGCTTTCTGCCACTGTGTATTGTAGGATCAACTGAATTTCAATGGTGCCTTGCTGCTTGTGCCTAGATCCTAGTGGGACTTGCAATTTAAGCATTTCTCCCTGTGTCTTGCTTCAAAGATTTAATCCTTTGAGCCTGTCCAGAATACTTGGACTCTAGGCCTTGAACAAATCATGAAGAAAAGAAAGAAGTAATTCAGATCCACATTAGGATCTCTCTTTTTTCTTGATGTGGAGTAAGAATTTAAACCTAGCTGTTTCAAGAGAGTGCCCTCAGATCACAAAGGGAGGAGCTACTTTGTGTAAGGCCCTTCCTACTGGAAATGTTCTAGCTGAATGCTTGTTCAGCCAGGGTGCCCTTGAAGAGCAAGCATGAGGGGTGGGACCTGAAAGAGTCCATGCTCTAAAGACTACCTAATTCCAGAGTTGATCTCTCCGTATCTCCTGTTGACATTGTTCCACCTAATATAAAAAGAATCACATTATAGGTATGAGACCATCTCCTGTCCCAGATGAGTATTCTAACAACGGTGCTATATAAAGTTCAAAGAACCCTGATTTGGTACTTAGCAGTGGAAGAAACAGATAAGTCAGGGTCAGTACAACTACAGGTGACTGTTAAACTACTGGCAGGAGAATGAGGAAGTAACTGTGAATATTGCTGTTTGACCAACAGAAAGCCACACATTTCTTTACAGGTATTTAGAAATACTAATTGTGGATTGCAAGGCAGGAATTTCTTAAGATTTTTGTCTCTTCCCTGTTGGTGACTGAATAATTCTGGTTACTAAAGTCAATTTACAAATGAGAGGATTAAAAAATTGAGGAAGGCAAATCTAGATCTGAAGACTAAAGGTTTTAGCTGCATTTATCATGAAGAGGTTGAGACCTTTACTACAAGCTATGGTACTTAGGTGTCCCTTTGCCTTGTTACTTATTGCCCCCAACAGAGGTCAGATAAGATCTGAAGACCTGAATTTCAAAGTCTAGTAAAAAAAGGCCAGCTTTCAATGTCATTTATCTGCTTTTGGTAGTGCAGTTTCCCTGTGCCCACTGGATAAACTGTACAAACTGTACCTCAAAGTTTTCCAGGTTAGCTGTAAAACCCACATGCTCATATTAGTTCTACCATGAAAGCAAGAACAATATGTAGGCACTGTAGTGCAGAGGGTATTTTATGCTTCATCATTTAGGGAGAGATTAGCACTCCTGATGAATCAGTCCTTGTCTAAGAAGGCTGCATCTGCAACTTTCCTCCCCAATTATGCCTGCTCGATGCACTATGCAGTCCATCCCACTAGTGAATGGCTCCACAGCCCCACTGCATCCGCATCTCTGATAAACCTAGCTTTGCTTCAGGCACTGTATAAGAATATAGGGCAAACAGCATGACAAGTTTACTCGTATTGATATATGAATGCTATATTGGCATATTTCAGCCCTTGATTAGAAGAACCACCTTTGCAGAGTCAGAGAATAGTTTAGTAGTCATGCCAATTAAAACTTCTTCATCTACTAAGGCTATTTTTGTTAGGCTGTTAACGGTGATAAGTTTATAAAGAATGATAACTGTGCAGTAAAAACAGGACTTTGATTGATAATATCTGATAATAACTATGAGTAGCAGAGTTTAGATAGCCAACTCCCTTTTCAGTAGGTACTGGGACAGAATTTAAAAGGGATTCTTCTGACATAACATTACTCTGTCCTCTTATGGTAAGGTCGTCGTTTCCACACAGTGTAAGAATTTGACATGTTTAGAGTGATGCTGTATGTATTGGGAAATTCCCAAATACCCAAGATTTGGTTTGGATTGCTACAGAGCAGAGGAAGAGGAAGCAAAAGGGGGTGGGGAAAGGTTAAAAAAGAAAGAGAAAAATGCAGGAGAGCTTGCAGTCTCAGTGCTTAGAGACTGTGTGTAGTACATTGACAACATGAAGTCTTTGCTAATCCTTGGGTTTTGCCTCCTACCCCTGGTCGCTCAGGGGAAAATCTATGAAAGGTGTGAGCTGGCAGCAGCTATGAAGCGTCTTGGACTGGATAACTTCCGGGGATACAGCCTGGGACACTGTAAGTCTGCTATCTTATGATTTCCAGAGGGTATACAAGGTAGGAATTACCATTCAACAAACTGTTGAAGTGAACAGGCCTGTGTGAATGCTGGAATTTAGAAGTTAAGAGCCCACTGGGTTAATGCATCTCAGCCGGCACAGACTGCAGGTATTGTCTACAGCTTTTCTCTTTACCATTTCTTTCCCTGTCATTCTTCCACAGTTTAATAAAACTAGCATCATCAGGAAGCTTTTCCTGGAATGAGTCTGTCTCATCACACCTCCCCAGTCCATAACTGCACTGCTTTTACTTACTTCAGTACCTTTCTCTGTCAGTTGTCTGTCTTTTGTGTTGTCTATTCTGAGATGACTGCTGGACCAGGGCAGGAAGATAAAGCTGTAGAGCAAACAGGAGGCCAGGCGGAGGCACTGTTATCAGAGGGAGCATCGACAGGAGTACCTCCAGGCTTGCTTGGTGTGGATTATTAGAAATAGTAATGAAAGAGAAGAGACACTGGTCAGGCTGTTCTGGAAAGCTCAGTCAGGAAGAAAAAAGGGGCTCCTAAAGACATGGAGTAGTGTCCTCAGGTGAGGGGAAGGGTGAAGATGTCTTTTCTCTGAGGGGAAGTGATAATAGACTATTGTTAAACCAATTTCCTTTTAAGGGAAGCATATAATTTTTCTCATCCAGAATCTAGACAGCAATCTACATTTTGACCACACAGTGTCCACATTTCAAAGAATCACTGTCCTCATCCTTCCTCCTTTTTGCTGCCCTAACACAGATACAGTGACGTGTAAATGGGACAAAATAGGGCAGTTAAGTCACACGAAGGGAAAGCTAAAGCCTTGATCATGGCCCCTCACCAAAATCTCTGTTTCTGCTTTGATCAGTGACATACACATGTAGCTGAAATAAACCTTGTTAAAGTGAGCAGGTAATTGTGCAGAGAATCTCACAGGAGTGTGCCTCATGGCAGAGCTACATGAGCACCTGTTTGGCTATGTCTGCACTGTTTGACAAAAGCATCCTCAGGGGGCTACGTTTGAGACCAGCTTTACTTGCTATGGCTATTGCAAGCTTCAAAGCGTCATAGGAGCTGCCCCTTCCAGAACATACCCTGCCAGCCAAAGTTCACCCACTAGGTCAGCATCCCGCGAGATATGTGGACTAAGGCCACCCACAGTCATATGGGCAGGAGCCACAAAAGAAACAAGGTACTCCAGAGAGTACCAGCATAATCTTTGGTAGATCTTTATTCCCGTTCCTGATGTCTGCACTTGCACCCTTAGAAGTAAAAATTAGGGCATTAATGGTGGTAAAAATGCCCCAACACTGCATTGGCTTCCCAAGTTTCCTTTGTGAAATCTTACTTGAGCTTCATTCTTGCCTGGGTAAAGGATAGCACTGATTAAAAACAGTCAGAACCATGCGATGCTGTGGACATGGTAGTACTTCTTTCAGTTTCTGTAGTAATGTTTATTGGGCTTGATTTGTGCTTCTGTATGAAAAGCAATTTACAGAAGCCTATTTGAATTTATTTCAAGAGCAGAGATCCCATGTTGGGGTTTCTTAAGACATTCTGAAGTTAAGACATACTACATGTGGGTTTTTTTTTTCATATATAGTTGCATTAGAATAAAAGAAACCCCATCTGTTATGGGCATTCTTTATGCAATCATCTTTTAACAAAGAGATGAGATGGGGTGATATCCAGATCAAAAAAAGTAATAGTCCTTCTGTTTGTTTGTTTGTGTTTTTAAACGAAACTTTGACAGGGGTGTGTGCAGCAAAATTTGAGAGCGGCTTTGACACAAGGGCCATAAACCGTAACCGTGATGGAAGTACTGACTATGGGATTTTACAGATCAACAGCCGTTGGTGGTGCAATGATGGTAGGACCTCAAGGGCCAAGAACGCGTGCAATATCTCGTGCTCAGGTGAGCTCAGTATAATGTTCTGAGGTGATACCATGATGGGCTGCCCTTTCACATTCCAGTTGCAAATAGATACGTGAAGGATGGTTACAGCCCTATCTTAAAAAACAAAGCAAAACAAAATTCAAGCCCCTTCTTCCTCCCTCAAAAGGGAGATTTGCAGTTTGGTAGCGAAAGGTTTCTTTACAGTAGGAAGTATACTGCCCTTTTCGTCCGCCTTTATGTTCCTTTAGCAAAAAGATTTCCATAGACGCCAGTTATTAATTAGTAGTTATGACCTGAGAAAATTTAATTTTACCTTAAAGGCAGTGAGAGCTTGACCCCTTGCAAAACACTGGCCCAAATGCCAGTCTTGCCAACTCTCTTTGTATTAAAAAGAAGTACTATAATACTTCATACCTGAGAAGTACTGTCCACTTGAGATCTAGTTCATGCAATGTAAGGGGTAGGGAACTTTTGCTTCCTGAGAGCTGATTAGGTAAGGAGTCACATCTAAGGATGTATTTGAAGACTATTAAAGTAAAAATATGAAAAGAAAAAAAATGTTGACCTTTTTTCCTCCTTCTCTTTTTAAGCACTGTTGAGCTCAGACATAACAGCGTCTGTAAACTGCGCAAAGAGGGTTGTCAGCGATAAAAATGGCATGAATGCATGGTAGGTTTCAATGGGTTAAAAAGGTTAAACTGCATTTGTAGAGCAAATTAAGACAATTGAGAGAGGGAATATCACTCATTTTCACATAACCAAGTTTAGAAAGAACAAGCACATAGTAGCAGTTGCTTGCATACATATTTCAATTTAAAACACCTAAACTGAGGATCAGTTGGCAGTACATTACAACTGTGGAATCCTCAATGTTCTTAAAACTGTGATGTGCATCAAACACTTCATAACAATATTAGCAGAGTAGGAATATTGTCTCAGCTTTCTACTCTGAAAACTTTAGTACTGGACTGTAAGAGAACCTATTCATTGTTGAATAAAAATGACATAAATAAATATGGCATGCATGTAACTAGTTTTGATTTTATTGACTGCCAAGTGAAGAGTAAGCCTTCTTAATCTGCTTTAACAAAGCCAAGTGCTCTATTTAAATTTACTACTCTCACAGAATAAAATAGCGCAAAGAGCAGTCCAATCTGTAGCCTTAGGTATACTGTAAGTTTCTAAATCAGGCATACTTAACTGTGCCTCTCTCTCAGGTTTTGCTGCCTTCAGTTTTATTAAGTCATCTCTGGAGCTGGCACTTCCTTTTTAATTTCCATGTCACCTGCTGGCAAGTGTTTTAGGGCCAACTTTAATGGTTGTGTCTAGCACAGAAGACTAAACCTCACCTACCTCTGATGGAATATAATTTGCATTTCACTGTATCTCAGAAAGATGGAGTTTTCTAAATAGACTGTTCTAATTGTTGAACATCTGGGGCTTCTGGAGTCCAAATTCCAATGTAACAAATCCATTATCTCATAGGATTTCTTTACAATCTATACCAGCAGTCTCGCATACTCTGAATAATTCAGAGGGGATGTGAGGGGAACTGAAATCCTCTTTTTACAGTAGGAATTGCCCCCTCCATCTGGTGACAAAGGAAATGGCCATTTTAAATTATTGGTAAGACAGAGCTTTTGATTAAAAACTGCAGGGATTTTTTATTCTGCCTGGTATTGAATCATGATACAAAGAAGCAAGTCATTGATAGAGGCAGCTGGCAGTCAGTGGAAAATGTGCTTTTAGCCAGCTTGCAGGAAACTTTTGGGAAGTGGCAAATTACTTGACATATAAACTGGTCTTCTGCAGAAGTTAGCTCTGTATGCAAATCAGAGTTACTAAGAAAAGCCCTTCTGTACTGACTTCCGAGCTTGCCACCATTAATTGTCCTGATCTTCCTCTGTTCAGGAAAGCGTGGAAAAAGCACTGCAAAGGAAGGGATGTCTCCCAGTGGATCAGAGGCTGCAGACTATGAGGCACTGGTGTTTAGCAGAGCTTATTCTCCGTTCAGGTGAACAACTTCCACACAAAGCAAACCTTTCTCCAACACGCTTCTTTGTAGAGTTGATTGTGATCAAAATAAAATTCAGGCGAATTACTGCAACACGGCTAATTCATGAAGAGTCAGTGTTTTATTGCTGGCTGATGACATGGCTGATACTTCCACCCAGCTGCCTGGCTTGCGTTCCGTACCGCTTGTTTGGCATTTTTGTAGCAGCGTAGACATGAGCATAAACCAAATCTGTTTTAACTGAAATCTTGTTGTTCGGTTTTGTGACTGCGTACTAATATGATATTTGCTTGACAGCTTAAATGTATTAATCATTAAAATATACCTGCATATGGTTTTCCAGTGGTTATTATATTTCATTTTTTATTGCCAGTATAGTTTCATATCCACAACCCTTAGAAGTAGTTCTTAATGATGGACACATAAATGCTTTCTCTTTTGAGAAAATACATCAGGCAACTATACGTTTTCCAACTTCCTCTATACAGGCCCGGTTAGGCAAGGTCATTTTGCCTTGACGCAAATATGTAGGTATTACAACTACATCATTTATCAAGCGGAGGGAGTCACCTACTAGCAAACGCGCAGGTCAGGCGGCGGGCGGTACGCCTCACACACCCATCCATCCCCTCTGAATTATATTAAGGCGCTTTCAGGTAGGAGCACTGCGAGGGGGCAGAGGCGACCCGGCTCTGTCCGGCTTGCCGACGCCTTGCCGCCGCCACCGCTAGGAA